CAAAGATCAAAGCATTTGTATCATTTCAAAGGAAAGTCTCTGTGTCATTATTGCTACAATAGCAAATATACTGTTCATTTTACCCCTGTGCAAATCCCAAACAAATGCTAAAGGTGGAATAGAATAGAACAGAAAACCATTATTGTCATTGTATGAGAGAAAGCAGTACAACAAAATTAGAGAATTCTGAAAAAAGAGTTTATATCTGCATCTACAGGGTCAATATGAATAATCTTAGTATCTATGTAAAAGCAACACTTTCTGCACTTTTGGTTTGGGTACATTCATTACTCTGTTACAAGAGACGATACAGTACTGTCTCTGTGATGATGTGCTGGTATAGGATTGTATGAGCTGCAGTAAAGTTAATCACAATATCAGAACCACATGTACCATTACCAGGTCGCCGCCGGCAACCGTTTTTTTTGGAAAACTTAGATCTATTTTGTCACGCTTGTTATTCTTTATATTTATATCGATCCATATAAATTACATCACCCTCTAAACTAAAATCAGAGCCACAGAGAAGACAAATGACTCTGGAAAAACCCTTAATTTCAGAATTCCACTGTTCCCCCTTTCTCTGGAATAGTCCGAAAATCAGATGCCTTGAAACAATCAGTGCCTGCAGCGGAAATTTGTCTTTGATAAAGCACATGGTTTCCATTTATGAGATGAGTGAGGTTGCAAGTTAAATTAAGTTTTTTCTTATTATTTGGTGATACTCAGCCTCAGACTCCTGAGCCGGTGAGGAAAACAAGGATGTGAAGATTATTCCAGGGTGCACGCACAAACACACACACACACACACACACACACAAACACAGTCACCTGTGATTATCTTGTTATCCGTGAGAATCAAAATTGTATGTCTTTTTGGATCAGTAGAAATAATGACCTTTTCATAATCTGCAGTAGTTTGAAAAACAGATGCTTTATTACAGATTTGCCAAAAAATGAATGATTTTACAGAAATAACATATTCACATTGAATTTGTTGGATCTGCATCATGTCCACACGCTGCTGCTGCTGAAGGACGAGCTTCAGAAGTGGTTTATAGAGCTTTGCTGAAGCCATGAATAACAAACAAGAGTTTAAGTTTACCACAGCCGCTGTTCTCTGCCAGTGAGGAAAACACAATCTTCAGATATTTTTCTATTTCTATTTATGTTTGTTGACATTCAAAGGATTTCTGGCGAAGTGTGACTTTAACAGTAGATTTCTGGTGGACACAGACATAAAACACAGCTTTGCATTTTGGTGAATAATTTGCAAGTAAATACAAATGGAGAAATAAAGTGGAAGAATTGATTCGATTGTTTCCCAAGTGTAAATCTCATTTTAATCACATGGAGGAACATTCCAAACCGATAAGTGTAAATAGTTGTGTTTCATTTAAACAAATTCCAATCCTGTTTGAGTTTGTTCTTCAACATGATTGAAAATAGCAGTCGACATTTGTCTTGATGTTGAAGTGCAGAAACAATACAGTTTTCCATTTTGAAATCAGAGACAACACTTACATGTTTTCATTGGCATTTGTTTTGTTTTTTTTAGCAGGATACAGTGTCCAGGATCTTTTTTTTCCCACTTTCTTCATCATTGTGAGACATGGCATTTTTCAACATTTTCCTTGATTTCTCAAAAAACAATTCATGGATCTTGATGGGGAAAAAAATCTGTCATATTAAGGGGCCTGATATTTATGAGAGTGCAAATAAAAATCTGGATCTAGTGAATTTAAATGTGGTTTCATCAAGGGACTGTTGGGCCTGTTCCATTCTAGTTTGCAAGACAAATAAATGTTTCTTCTCTCTAGAAAATACAATTTTACATCATGCTGTGTCTTTGTCAACACATTTAAGACCAAATGTTTCTTTTATCCCCCCTTTTATTAACTTTGTCCTTTTCTTGTTCCCACCTCTGCCTATTAGACATCTAGTTAAAATACTATACTGGACCTAATGACAACCACATGGATGAAATAAAACACAAAAGGGACAAATCATAGTCTCACAGTATCAGAATGAAAGCAGGACATGTTATGTCTGTAAAACAAACCAAGGCATTTTGGGCTGATTCACACCTCCAGACAATCAGAGGAAATATTTGCTCTGGGTTTTTCCTGATTGTCAGCTCTGATTAATATGTAGGCATGTGAAGGTTTTATCAGATCCAAACTTAAATCTCCCAAACGGCTTGCAGACTCACCGGGGTCGCACCAATTATATCAAACAAATTTGAAATTCAGGAGTTGATTATTATCTTAAGGTCAATTCAAAATTGTAGGCAAGTTAAAAAAATATATTCATTTAAGAAGCTAATATTATTTGACCTCAGGAGACCATTGTCTATAAACTTCCATACCATGTATCATAATGTGTCCTCTAAGAATAAATGTAACCTCAAGGAGGATGAGGCCTAAAGTCAACACTAAAACCCCTTACTTGTGTGATAATCCATCTACTTCTAAATTGCACAGCTTTCACTTGTAGTTCTCCCAATTGCTTTTGCCCTGAGGGACGCCTCGACTCCTCCAGACACAAGGTCAGACGCTCGAACATCTGCTGCAGGAGCGGCCCACTAAAACACACAAAACAGGTGCTGTGCATGTTCCTGTCTGGTTGCTGAAGCCTCCATATGTCCTCCTCCCTCGATCTGTCTTCTCTTTGTCCTCCTCCTCTGCCTCCCCCTCAGACTTTGCACCTCCTGAAAAATCCTTCCTGTGATCGCGGCTGTCGTTGGATGATGTCACTGTGCATGCTTTGTGTTAGAGACTTGTCAAGGCTGTGCTGTGACTGCGAGGAGAGCTGATGCCTTCATAAGATTAAATACTGCATTTTGAGAGTGGATGTGGATCTACCTAAAGACTTAGAAAATATGTCTGATTTTATTGAATTATTTTAGTTTTCTTTTCTTTTAAATATCTTTTTTATTTAATGTCATCAATGTATTAAATAATTATTGTGCAGGGAAAGTTTTTTTTGTTTAAATGATCGATGCTCACATCACAACACGTCCACAAGCTCAAACAAGAAAAAGCACACACACAACAACCACAGCTGACAGCAGAGGATAAATCATAAACTATGGATAAACAAAGTTAGAATTATGAGACAAGAAAGCAGAGAAAAGATCTATAATTTATACCTTCATGGTAACATAAGATGTTTGATCAGGAAATAATGAGAATAAAAAAAATGTATAGAATATGACTGGGAAAGAAGAGAAAAAAAGAGCAGAAGAAGAATGGCTCAGGCCGTTACTCCTGTGCTTTCTCTGTTGTCTGTGTTCCTCTCCCTGCCTCCTCCTCCTCCTCCTCCTCCCCTGTGTGAGTTCCACACCTGGTCTCAATCTCCCTATCAGCAGCACTACAAGAACCCCGGTTATCTCGCCGCTCATCGCCGGATTGTTCAGTCACCTCAGTGGTAGACACGCTCGGCCTCTTTGAACTACCAGTGAAATGTTTATTTGTATGCTTCTTGTGACTCACCAGAGCAAACTCGCCAGCCTCATCTCCAGCTCACAGGATCTCATGCACACCCTCAGCCAGCCGCCAGCCTGTCACCTGCCTGCCTCAACATTAAACACTCTTATCCTTCACACCAGTCCCTCTCTGTGTCTGCTTACTGGTCCAGTGAGAACTAAAACCTTACAGAATGGCTGCTCAGAAATGATTGTAGTGGGTTTCTTAGAAAATGTCAGCACCTTGTAAATGTTACACTCTGATCTCTGGGTAGTAAAACAGGTTTTATATTGGACCTGCTGAAGGACGGGACCCTGAATTCTTCCATTTAAGTAAAACAGCTTGACGTACCAGTGGAGATTTAACAGCTGATACGTTAAGTGTTGCTATTGGAGCGATTCCAAAATCTGTATGTCAAAGGATTTGGCTGAATTTAGTGGTGAGGTGGTTTCTGAAAGTCTGAATTTAAATGGACATGACAAGTACATGTGAAGAAGTGAGGCAGGTGCAACTTGTATCACATGAACACAAATGAGCTAACTTGGTAAAATATCTTAGTTTTGAAATGTATTTATACATGATGGAGCAACTTGAAATAGAAAATTAAAGCCAGACCTTCTTCATTTATCTGGATTATACATTGTTTGCACCAAGCCTGAGATATTTTAGGGAGGAAATCTCACACCCTGACCAAAACAATACATTAATTTATTGCTCTCACTGACCAGGATGTTAAGAGACCTCAGTATTTGAGCCTGTTACTGCACATCAACATATCGATGAGCTCATACAGAGAAAATACTTCACTACTGCTGATATATGACAAATGTGAGCATGTGCAATATTTGTATAAAGCCATATACCATATCCATACCTCCACTCTTCAAGCAACAAGCATGCACTTGCAGTTTCAAGGTAACCCATTCTCAATACACTCACTCACACACGTTCGTGCTCTGTGGCTTGTTCTCCCATGAGGCATCTGTAAGCCATGACATCATTCTTTCCACAGCCTCACAGATCACAATAATTACTCTCTCACTCGGCCAGAAGCACAACTGACTACACGGTTCTTCACAGGAAATCGTGGCCGTTTGGTCGCGTCGAGTCTGAGAAATCATTGTCATAGAAATTCTCCCAGACAGACCACATCATCCAAAATGTGTCGGATCATGTGGCTGGAAACACGGAAGCACCCGCAGTGTTTGTGACATGTGTCTTCATCTGTCTTCTTCTCACCGCTCTGTCTTTAGAGGATTACACTTTTATTTCTTACTTTCAGCAGCTCGTTAATAACACTGAGATATTCATTTAAAAACTTAATATTGATGTTGTGATCGAAACACAACGAGGGGGAAGATTATTTTCTAAAATGAGAGATAATTGTCTAATGTATGAACTCACTACCAATATTTGAGTTCCGGGTTTTGAAACTGTACAGTTTCCATCATATTGGGGGCGTTAACTCAGGAGGTAAAGTGGGTCATCCACTAAGAAGAGGGTTCGATCCCCGTCTCCTCTAGACAAGATGCTGGGTTAGAGTTACTGTGACCTTGGGCTAAAACAAACCCTGTGCCGGTGATGGCTGTTCCGACAGTGTGCGAATAATGTGTGATAGAAAAAGAGCTTCATTTGGAAGTGGTGCATTAAAATGTGTGAATATGACAATTTAATTTATTTATTTAACTTATATATTTTTTAAATTTGCATTTGGCACAATTAAAAGGTAACATTTCATATTTCCAAAGGATTCACAGACTCTGGTACTGAAGAAGCCTGAAAAAGTTATGATCCTCTAGGGACGTTTATTTGAGATGTACGTATGTTTCCAAACCCCCCCTTATTTTCCTTCCAGATTTAGTGTTAGTTAATGTCTCTGTTACCTTCAGTCACCTTCAGTTGTTTTCTATTTGGATTCATAGAACAGTATCTTCTCACTGAATCCATTATAAAGAAAGCGAGACATGTTTTCTTGGATCATTCAAAGCGACACAGATGGAGTAGTATGATAATATTTCTCTGTCATGAAACATCGATCATAAGACAAATCCCAGATGACACTTTGCTCCATTAGTTTCAGATCCATGTGGTTTAAATTACAGCTGGAGGACGGACAACAGAGCTGTCAGAGAACGAGAGTGTATAAAGTTGCAGAATACTTTGTTTTGTCTAGTATTATCATTGGGGGAAGTAGTTACAGGCAGTACTAGGCTCTGAATACATGTCACAAGGTCACACTAGGTCACAAACAATCCTTAATGGTAGCTGTGTGCATCTGAAGTCTTAAGAGACACATTTTTTCATTAGTTTCTGCGCACAAGATACAACTGTTGGGACTTCAGAGGCTCCGTTTTAATACAACATAGAAATGGGAAAAACAAATTGTATGACAGATAGACTCATGAACACAGAAATGAAAATCATGTCATCATATTCATAATATTTATTTGTATGTATTGGATTAAACTGTGGTCATATTCTTGTTTTATTATATTCTAACATAACATCTCCAATTGTTCATACTTACAGAATAAGAACTGAAGTCAATTTGTCTGAAGCTTAATCTTTAATGAATGTGATCTTATTAGATGGGGAATCATTAAAATTATGTTAAATGAAAAAAAATTAGGCAGGAAAGTGAGCTGTGTCACATGGGCAGTTAATACCTGTTGAGATATCTGACAAACATGGAATAAAATTAAGATAAGAAACATGTATTACTACTGGCTGACAGGTATATATGATTATTTATTGCAACCATCAGACATTCACCAACCATCTAACAGAGCTGATTTCCATCAGTTTGTGTTTATTTATTGTTATCCACTAATCCTGTAGAGGACAATGAGTTCATTCTTGGCCAAGTTTAACTTCTGGAACGAGATGCACATGATCTAAATCATATCCATTATGCTGGATCAAATGTGTCTTTGTGAGATTCATCCACCGATTTTATTTATGCAGTTGGCAGAGAGAGAATAGGGCTGTTGTGTAATGCCTATATTACTGAAGAGGGAATGATTTCAGCTGTGAATCTCCTGCAGCGGGAGAAGGGACCAGTCACTGGTCATGTTCGGGTGGAACTAATGTGGCAGCGGCATTTTCAAGACTTATAATTTTAAGCCATTGCTCCAGGAGTGCAGTGTTATCTGCTTCAACTCGTGCATGAACACAACTAGTGCACAGTTAGTTTAAATCCTGTCCTCTTGTCATCACCTTGTTATCTGCCCTCTGTGACGTCAAACCTGCCGTCCTTGTGCAAACTTGAACTCCCCTCTGCTGCTGCTTCTGCTGCTGCTGCTGCCCCTGGATCCTTTTTAATGATGTGGCCCAAGAGCTACGCTGCTCATGAAGTATTTAATAAATTCTCACTCTCCACCCCATCTCTGTTTGCTTCTCAGGGGGAACATATAATAAACTGAGTCCAATGGATGCACACGTGTGTAATATTATAGATGCATGTGTTACAGTTAAAATAATTCATTATGTAACTGTTATGTAATTCCTCAAATCTGGCCTGTTTTTGTGTGCTGTGTTTATGCACATACTCTCACGATCAGAGTTTATCAGATGAAGTTCATTAAGAGTCATATGGCTCATCATGTAGTGTAAACCCCCAAGGTTGAATAAATATGTAAGTATTCACAGGTGTAAATACAAAGAATTTGCTCATCTCCGCTTGATACATCCTTTTAAATACATAGAGATGATATAGAGATGTCCATGAAGGTGTGTATTTTAAAAAATCAGTGGGACGTCTGTTTAAACAGTACTAACAGGGCTAAACCCTAAATATCTTTAACAATAAAGATGAGAAAATTGTTCTTTAATATGGTAGAACATGTTGTTTTAAATTGACACTGAAGCCTAATAAAAATACAGCTTACCCAGTATCAGCTGTCACTGGATATATATATGAAAATTATTTTTGAAAAGCCTGTTAAACATAGAATAATCTCTTAATCATGTTTGTGAAAGAGGAAACTATACACAGGAATGAAATTAAACCGAAGTGAAACAGGAGGCTGATGGTGCGACATTGAAACTTTATATTCATCAGCTTCTTTTTAATTTGGCCATATCGTAACATACCATAGCTGTATACAACCTTAATGGGATATAGTAATGTGATGAAGTTTAGCAAAATTTCAGAAATTCAGCTCTGCCCTGGAGGTTTTGTTTTCATCAGCGTTTGTTAGGATTATGCAAAAGCTTGTTGGCAGGATGCAGTGATGGTCGGGGAAGAACCCATTCAATTCTGGTGTGGATCCAGGAATTTTAACACTGTGAGGTGGGGCGTTTTCAACATTTCCCTTGATTTCTTGGAGAATAACTCAAGGATCTTGATGACAAAAAATGTGTTTATAGAATTGATGTTTATGAGTGTGTGTGCAATTTGGTGCAGATCCAAATAAAAATCTGAATCTAGTGAATTTAAATGTGGTTCCCCGAGGGGAATCATGGGAACTTGAATTGTGCATAGACTGAGACAGAGTCAAGCTCAAATTTAAAAGCACGAAACATCGTAAATTTGGAGGCTGCAAAGGAGGATTGAATACTGAGTAAAAATCCATTGTGTTTTTAATCACCATGTGATAATTTACAAAGGTACGATACAGCATCAATGGTAGCAAAACACGGTTTCTTTAAAATGCATCTATTGTACAGAAAACAAGCACCATTAAAAAAAGCATAGACAAATCTTCCCAAGCCAAGTTTACAAAGTGACATGACTTTAATAAAAAAAGCAAAATATCTCTATGGTAGAATATATCTCACCTTACACACCATCTACCCAACGGCACAAATTCATATTTCCCATGCACACTTACATGAAGGGTATTTCTATGTCACTGCAATGCTATTACACATCATGCCTATCACATACAGTATGGTCCGGATGGAACAATCACAAAGCTAAAATGATTGGATCTCTCCCTGTTGGTCCAACTTTTTTCAACCCTCCAGCACTCGACCAGGAGCGCTCGAGGTGCATTCAGTCCCTGCGGTGAGCCCGGAGATGTTTCAGGATTCACTGCCTCGGCTTGTGGTGACGCCTGACCAGCCTTGCCCGCCTCATTCCAGCTGTAAACAGGGACACGGGGAGTTAATGGATGGAGCCAGAGGTGAGAGTGTCAACAAAGATGAAAGAAAACATGTGGATGAGGAAACTAATGAGATGCGTGAAGAATGGGTGGAAGGACTGAAACTGTAGATAATGGAAAGTTTGATGAGTAATCGTTTAGCAAAACTTTGGTGTTGAATGTGTCATCAAATCACTGGGCCCTTACCTGGAGGTCTTCTGCTGGGCGCTCCTCTACCTCCCTCTGTGAAATGAAGAGAACACAGTCAACCTGCGCACGCATGCATGTACTACACAAACTCGTTCTGCCGTTAGGAGTGTTTACCTTTAATGAGTCTGGTAATCCTCTCTGATTCCTCATTGATCAGACCCGGGTTGCCATGGATGGTGGTGATTTTCGAGAAGTCTGGACCTGAACATTTCAAAACAAAACCGTTAGATCCAAAATGTGGAGCAGTTTTTACAGTCACAAAGAAAATCATGTATGGGTTTGCAGTTTTGAAAATGCATTTTTGAGACCCTACCCTCAATGATATGAGGCTCGTTCACCGTGGTTTGTCTGGCTCCACCTTCAGACCGGCAGCGGAGAAGGGTGTTGAAAGTCATTTAACGACTTAGCAACTGTACTGACTGACAGACAGACAGACTGACAGGTACATACACCCGGTAAAACACCTCCTCCGCTACCGCACAAGAAGTCAAGCACAGATGTGCAGGATTCATGGACACGCACACACAGATGTTGTCACAGGTCACTTTCAGGGACATTACATATCTTCCATTAATTTCCTGGAGACTACACAAACCCTAATGCTGCATTTGCACCAAATGTGAAGTGAAGAGTCTGGCTGCAGGATCATTTGTGTGTACTCATGATAGGGCACGATCACACATACAACAATGTTGCGGGTCAAAGTTGAGCTCTATGTGAAGCCACGCGGTGGACTTGCTCTACCACAGGAAGTGAAAGGTTTTATTTGTTCCCTCTCGTGCACAGATTGGAAGTAAACTGGAGTGTGACCGTGCCCTTAGAGTAAATCAAGTGAGAGCAAGGCAACCGCTGTATATTTGCCTGTGATCTTCTGCAAAAGTGGAGAGGAGGACTCATGGCTAAAGTGACAATGATTACTGCATCATGCTTGTGTGTGGGACCACAAGACCAACGAGACGCAGACAGCTCAGGGAATTTCACTGTCGTCTCCAGGAACTGTGTCTGGACGATGTTACCTTGTATGTAATAATGTCCCACAAAGAAATAGCTTCACATTAGGTGTGAATGCAGCTTTTTCCCAGTTGAGGATCCTAACTGGTCAAGCTGTCAACACATTAGTGGTCTTTAATCTGACATATGTCCCCAAAGGTGTCCTATAACACGCACACAAACACACACAAACACTGCAGAGGGCGTTCAGCTCATACAGAGAGAGTGAATTCTTCTAAAGCCCACTAACAAAGCTGCAAGACACCAGAGATGCAGTTGTAGCTTGAAGCTCACTGCCCCTGCAACCACAAGCCAGTGGCATTTTGGAGATAGGCAAGAGCACTGACAGAGATGGAATCAGATGGATGAGTGATGAGCTGGACACACATCCAAATCATGGTGCACCATTGTCAATAGACAGACATTTTACAGACACATGATGGACGGTAGAATCCAACCTCTGTAGCATCATTACTGAACCTGTATAAACATCATACTCCAGAATGTGCTCTAGTGGAGTTTTGAATGTTGGCTGGCCAAGGCCTCTCATAATAAACTTTACAATTCTAATGAACAACGTATTTAACGATGTCCCCTGTGTAAAACATACAACTGCCCATTATCACAGCAAAGTATTATGAGCAACAACAGGAAACAACATAACTGCTCCAGCTTTTTAACATTATTGTTTTCTAAACTTGTATAATTATATACCTTATATAACTTATATACCTCCTGAGTCCGTCTGAGATGGAAATGTAGGCCATAAAAAACTGAGTTTTTAGAAAAAGCAGGAAATGTACACAGTTCATAGTGAACTGTTTTTCTTTTGAATAATTTTACAATTCCCTGTCTTACCCTTAACATGCAAGCGTTTACATTTGATGGTTAGGTAGGTCTGGTTTTGTTTAAGTTACTCTGACTTTGCTTATCTTCATAATCAGCAGCAATTAGTTTGTGTGTTATATATGTACTTTTATTTGATATAATGCCCTTGAAGAGATGAATGAATTAAGTTTGTTATTATTATAATAATTCTGTTATCGTGAATCAATAAATACAACAAAGTGCGGATAGTTATACAAAGCGAGTCAAAATCTACGATCTATACACATGTTCCTTTAAGGCTAAAATGGTGCACACCATGAAAACGATGTGTTTGATGTTGTGAAGGATGATCACCAGGGAGACGATGCTCAGTTAAGATTGATGCATTTGTTAAAAGAGCCGTTAGAGGACGCATGAAACCCCTTAGATGCAGACCAACCAGCTCATGGGAAGAAATGCTTTAAGAGAAACTTACCTTCAATTTGTTTCCCATCAGCATCAAACTCTCCACCTGCATCGATAAAACAAAATATACGGTGTGTTATTAAAATCTATTTTTAAACCTTTGTGAAATCTCATTGTGTAACAACTATAAGAACATTGACCTCACCATCAATAACTCTTGTAACCTTGGTAATTTTTGGTTCCCCCGTTTCGATGACCCTGGTTACCTTGGTGATCACCGGCTCCCCCTTGACAACCACCTCGGTGACAATTGGTTGTTTTTCGATGACTCTCGTTACCTTGGTGATCACCTTGTCCAGCCCAATCACCCTGGTTGGTTCTTCTTCCAACACTCTGATCACCTTTGTCACATCAGGGACTGTTAGACAGAGGGAGCAAAGGGAGACGTGACCATCCCATAATAATGATAATAGAGAGAGGGCATCTTTAAAGCACCTGCACAAGTTGTGTCTCAATTCAGGGGCTGCATCCTTCAGAGGATGTGGTCTACCCACAAAGATTCTTTCAAGTAGACACTACATCTTTTCACCCATCAAGCACATCCTACGAGCCGTTGTGATACCATGTGACTGTGCATCACATGGTATCACAACACTGTTTCTGGATAAAGCCAAATCAGCAGTAGTAGTGTAAAGCATAATTCACAATTATTACCATAACTGTAATAAAGCAAACATGTGTAGCCCCTAAAAATGTAATCTCTCAGTGGGCTGAACCTTCAGCTCTCTGGTCCTAGATCCTTCGAGGAATCAGGTTGCATCTCTTCTTTGTTATAATAAATCAAAGCCTGTTTCCATCCATGTGGACGTGAGTAACTGGAAGAACCAAGAGTCCGCTATGGTCTCTGAGCATGTTCTGCTTTGACAGCTTAATTACCTCATCTCTGGAAGAGTTGATTAAATATCCCAGGAGGCCACAGTGGATATAAGTAACAGTGAGCGGAACAAAGAACAGGGTCCAGGGAAGAGGCCAGGATGGAACAATGAAAGTTATGTAACATGCAGGTAGCTGCAGATTGTATTTCACTTGCTCATTTTTTAAACAAAGAACATCTGTTCATTTTAAAGGCAGACATGTTTTTCCTATAAACACATTGAGAACACATCAAATCTCTGAAAATGAATTCCTCACTTTCAGTAATGTGGATAATAACAGTGGTCTCACCTCTTTCAATATAGTGAGTGTTGGTAATGGTCTTCTCTGTGAAGTAACACAATAGGTTTTAAGTTGCTGCAGACACAATAATGCGTACATACGTATGTTCAAACAGTGACAGAGACACTTACTGATGAAAGTGATTGGGATCTCATTGTAAGAAAATCCTGAAACATACTAAAGACAAAAGCAGAATAAGAGGTATTAAAACAAAAGATAGACAAACGAAGGTGGAACATATTCACATATGTGAGTTTTTTCTTTCATTACCTTTATCTGGATGTATCTAATCAGTTTCTTCAGGAGGACCTGGAGGTCCTGACGGCCCACAGGAAGGTCTGCAAGTCATACGCATCATCAATAAACGGAATATTTCCACACACACAGGGAACATTTCATTGTTTTCTGCTACTGCACGTTGCTCCCACCTCCGGGGTACAGAACGTTCTTCACCATATGGATGACACCGTTTGTGGCCATAACGTCACTGTCTGGAACGTTCACAGAGTTGACATGAATAGAGTTGTTAACCTGAGAAAAACAAAGAAACACTGAATGCAAGTGTGTTTTTCTAATACTATTCATAAGGCACTTCCCTGAGGAATTACCTGTATTTTTTTATATCACAACATCAAAATCGATACTTTTGATATGAGAGGTTTTCCAGGCAGCTTGCTCCACTGTTGGATATTAGGTCCAGGAGTTCAATTTCTGATTCCCTCCAATTTAATAGTCTCCGCAGTTGTGAGTGGAGGTGGATATGAAAGTAAGGGACTGGCTTCCTCTCACGCACATCAGCCATTGAGCCCATTCACTTTCTGACTCATTCCACATTTTAAAAACCCACTTTCCCATTATTTTAACAGACCGAGGCCTGAAAACCCCACTCTCCTAACAGCACATTATCCCAAACAAGCTTTCGCATGTCTACTCATTGGGTCCTGTCAGCCTGATGTGACATTTTGGCTGATAACTTGATATTGTTGTAGGAAAGGGGCTAAATTGAGGAAATTGCAGGGATATTATGAAAAAAATGGCATTAAGACTAAAAGGAAGAAAAAGAGAAGACATGGGAGGTGGAGGGGATCAGAATAGGAAATAGCAGTGGGTGCTGATGGAAATGACAGGAAGACAGACTGTATTACTTCTGGCCGTTCTCCAAATATATCCAGCTTTGAAATAATAAATAGGCGCTGACTCATCAATTGCAATTGTTTAAATGAGAATGTGGGGAAAAGCTGGATTACAGTGTACATATATTTGTATAGCTGTTTCTGACATGTGGAGGACTTTCCCCACAGTTTGCCTTTTCTTATTTTTTTTAAATGCGTGTTAAAGCATCATCACATTTATAACATTTCCCATCATGCTGTTTTTTTTTAAAACACAAATTTGGCAGGAACTGGACCGGAGTCAAGCTGCCAGCGAGTAAAACCATCATCATACATCTTAGTCCAAACATGACCTTTATATAATGACGAATCCATTGGGGCAGAAATTAGTATTGTTACCTCCACCATGGAGGTTATGTGTTCGACCTTGCATCCTTGTTTGTGTGTTTGTTTGTTGGTTGGTTTGTTTCTCAGGAGAATTATGCAAAAAACACTGATGTCTTGGGACATGGACCAAGTTAAAGATCGATTTCTTTAACATTGTGAGATATGATGTTTTTAACATGCGTTCACAGGTTGGTGAGCCTGATTGAATTTAAGGGAATTGTTGGACCTTGGCGGGGGTATCAAGGGGAATCTCTGTGTTTGATTGTACAATGATTGTGAAAATGATTCAGACCATACGCCCAATATTTGCTCTAAGGACACGACTCCATACATGAATACAGACTGGTTGTACGTACAGACATAACTTGCAGGTTCTTGCCCTGCAGCGTTTTGAGCAGATTGGTAACTCCTCCCTCCAATCCTCCATTAATGAAGATGCCATTACTGAAGTGGTACAGCAGAATGGTTCTCAGAACATTCAGATCACCTGTCAACAAGGACACAAGTTAAACACGATATACATACTATTAGCATATTTGTATCTCCTCATTACTGCATTGTAGATTTTTAAATAAAAACAAGCAAGCTCGACAGTAGTCCTTCTTTTTCTAGTAATGTAGGTAAACGTGTTCAGTTCACTTACTTCTGAGCAGAGCAAAGTCTTCTGTACTCAGGCCATCGAATGCCTCGTCGGTTGGTGCAAAGATGGTGTAGGAGCCTTCCTGCCTCAGCAGATCAGTCAGACCTGCCGTTTCCATCAGTGACAGGAAAATCCTACATTTATTCAATTTAAGAAAAATTAAGGAAAGAAGAAAGTCATCAATGGGTTGAATCCAGGACTGTGGAAGATGAAATATTGCCTGTAAATCAATAATTCTGCTGATGTTTTATAATCTTCAATGACAGAAATGAAACCATACCCTGCTTTTTAATATCCTGGTCACTGACATCTTTTTTCTTATGTCTTATTCATCATGTCTCATACATCAGGTGGAGCTCTACACCTTTTCCACCAGTTACAGCAGCTCCACTTCTAATGGCTGCGACGAGGCTCTATTACATCTCATTATTGGATTGAAAAGTGGTAAAATGTGTTGCTCATTTCAGAGTAGGGGGAATTATGGTTGTTGAGGTTTGGGATATGTGTGAGACACATGTGCTTCTGTGGGCGCCACATTCACACATCTGCCTCCTCAGTTATTCATCATTGGGCGCCAGTGTTTGTCACAGAGCCAGAAAATATGAAATGAGTGGAAAAGCACTAATGTTTGTTAGATTACTGTGTTCTGTGAAATTTGTGAGCAGAGGAAAGTATGGAAAATCACTTAATATACTCCAGTTAGTTTGGATGTATAAACAAAGTATTAATCATCTTAATCACCCAAAGCTGGAGTGTTGGATTTTTACATCAATGTCCATTACATTCAATCCTTTGCCAAACGAGTTCATAAAATGCAGATTAATCGTATTAGTGCCAAGAAAATCTCTCTGCGTTTTGTCGTGGTGATATTCATACTCTGGTCCAGTGGCAGCGAAGGGTTTTAAATCAACCAGCAATACTTCGTTTTCCAGCGCTAAGAAGAAGAGCAACCATAATGACGGAGTGTACGATGGTGGTAATACCTAGAGTGTGATTTAATTCATTCATTCAAAATGGAATACTTTGAGGTTCTTACTTGAACCGTCCGTCAGCAATCAGGAGCTCGTACATCGTCTTCTTGGCCGGGGTGATGAGAGAGTTCATCAGATGGAGGGCCCCATTGCTTCCCTCCTTACTGCCACGCACCATACAAGCATTTTCTATGCACACAGCCTAACAGGAGTGCAGAGATATTCAGAGAGCAGAGCTTCAGGTATCCAGAAAATCTCTTTGTGCAAATCTGTTAAGCATTCGGCTTAAGGGAAGCCGGCTGTCACATTATGTGTTTGCGTAATTCAAACAGGAACAATACAATTCTGTGACGACCTAAACCCAGCTGATTCTAATATCTGAGCCACCAGAGCAGAAATGCATTTCATTTGCCAAGAACACTGGACAAACCCGCTGCATTATTGTGTTTGTTTATATCTGAAAGACAGAAGAATCATGTTAGCACTCGATAAGGAGCCAGGCAATGGAAGCCAACTCCCTCTGCTATCTTTTCATCATCTTTCCATCATCTCCTCTTATCTTTTTTTTTTCTTTCTGTTCTTCAATCGACTGTGTTTGACTCACAGTGCGGTAAATGAACACTCGGAGGATTTTGCCAGCCAGTGTTTCAAGCAGCTGTCCATTGTAGAGTTCACTCAGGGTGACTTTCAGCTTCAAGATGTGATTTTCCAAGATTGCTCTCAGCACACTCTGGTCTCTTGACAACACCTCATCTGACAAACACAGACAAGTTGCAGTTATAAAACAACACATTACGTTATACACCATCTCTTATGTTTTTACTGGCATTTGTTTTTTCGCAGGATTAACTCTGAAATATCTTTGAAGGACAAACTGTGGCTTTTCCATAAGATTGTTATGTCCAGGTTGCTCAAAACCACTTTAAACACATGACTGGAGATCAACTCACGAGTGAAGGCTCCGTTGAGTGGAGCGAGAAGTGTGTATTCAGTCTGCGGACGCATGACGGCGGCTAATCCCAGTTCGGACACCATGTCAGTGAACGTACTCTGTGTGTCTCCCATCAGCTCCATCACTTCCTTGGCTGGTGTGAATCACATGACATGTTGGTGATCACAGAACAATATCGCTGATTGATTAAAACATATGTTAGTGTTTACGTTTCATTTGTACCTGAGTCTGGGATGAGCACCTGGTCGATGAGGTGGATGACTCCGTTGGTGGTGACGATGTCTTTCTTCAGCACCATCTTGATTCCATTCACTGTCAAACTGTCGCCGTCGCAGCCAATCTCTATGTTGCTGCCTTCCTCCGTCTCATACGCTGTTCCTGCCGTGATCGCCTCTGAACACTGGACACTCTTCAGCAGGTGGTAGTTCACCAGGGCTGATGGGAAAAAGATGGTGAGAGGGAAGTTTGAGAGAAAGAGCTGTTGAGAATTTTAAAAAATGTACCTGAACAGATTTTGCACTTTTATAGCCTTTGTGGGTTGTCTGTGGTTATTTTCGTCATCTGGCTACACTCACATATTTTCTCAGTTCTTTTGAAAATATTTAGGTAATTCTATCAACATTTAGATATGAAGTTACACCTCAACTGAATCCAACTGTCAAACTGAGCCTGCAAAACTGGCCTGCAAAACGCACTGCAATTACAACATGGAAATCAGTTCCAAACCCACAGAAATTCAAATGAAGTGTAGAAACAAGGCACAAGGATCCATTTAATCTTAACTTTGGTGGACGTTCGTTCTACAGTGGTTGGGCAGTAAAGCCTGTTTGCAGCATGTCTGAGAATGAAGCTGAGGTTATATTGTGGTCCCAGACGACACCACAAACCGACTTCATGTTTATAGACAAGCTAGTAGGGAAGAGACACCAAAGCCAGTAGGGTTCATACTCTTGGAAAATTCATAGCAAACAATCCATCAGTTGTTGAGACATTTTAATCTGGAATACTGCTTCTAACCAACTAACCCTAAACCCTAAAAACATTCGAAGTATGCTTGCAGGTTATGTCATTATATGTAAATCACCTGCAACGACAGCCTTCTTGCCCATGATACGCTCCAGGTAGCCTGAGTTCAATTTGTCAAAGGCTTTGTTGGTGGGTGCAAACAGGGTGTAGTGTCCAGGCTGGCTCAGCTTGTCCATCATTCCAGAAGCCAACGCTGCAGCCTGGGAAACAAGACATGAGAGGTTATTTTATTGACTCTTTGCTCTCCACCCATGTATTTAGCGTGCTGTGCATTCTACATACATTGAAGGAGTCGAGGTCATCCGTGACATCCAGGACATCCTTGATGGTGTTGCCCACAGCGCTGATGACCCTATCGATCACATGCACAACGCCATTTGTGGCCACCTGGTTGCCGTGGATGATTCTGGCACAGTTCACTGTCACAACCTTAACAGCGAGGAAATCTTATGTTAAGCCAAGTGAGTAAATGGGGTTAGAGATGTTTTGACATATTTCAGGCATGTAAAAGGTTTTAACACTGTGGATAAACTGACCCCATTTGAATAGTGGTTGATGTAGAGCCCCAGGTCATTGTACATGGATTTTACAGTCATGCCGTCCTTCATCCCTTTTGTCAGAAGACGTCGGTTCACCATGTGGAAGTGAAGAGCGTTGTACAGCTCGATGTTCACGTTGCTCACCAGTGCAGACCGCGCAGACTGGGGAAATCACACCATCGGTTAAACATCACTAACTTTATATTCTTTGGCTCTTATTGAATTCATTTCTTTTCTCTTTAAAATTCAGTTCACTCACAGGGTTAACCTGGTCCCAGGCGTCATTGCTCGGTGCAAACAGGGTGAAGGAGCCTTGGCCTTCAATTTCCTCTCTCAGCTTGGAAATGTCGGCGTACTGCTGTGTGGTTGTAGCCTTTACGAGCCCCAGCGTACCATACACGTGGTCGATGGGAGCCACTAGAAGGAAGCAGAGGGATTGTTCATGCACAGAAAAAGGCAAGTCTACAGAACCTGCTAACTGGACGTCAGTGGTTGGTGCCACCTACCTGCAGGGCATCCTCTCATACCCTCCATCATCATGTACCCAGGACAGCACTCATATATGATTGTCCTGCCAAAAAAAAACCCACATACATATAAGACCTGTGAGTGATTAAAAAGACTGTAATTAACTTTATGCATGTGGGTGATTTCTATGACCGTGGAGGACAAACAGCCAGAGAACAGCGAAAAAGAAAAATGTGCAATATAATATATGTAATGCGATGCACTAAAGGAATTCCTCAGGCCTATTAAGCAGAAGTGACTGACGAGAGGAAGAACAAAAAAACCCTGGGAGCGGATGACGAGAACTTGGACTCAGAGAGGTGAAGACATGTCAGACAGACTGAGAGCAAGGCTACAGAAAGAGGAGGGATTTCACTAACCAAAATATAAACCCATAATTGGGCATTTGAAAGTTAGAAAAGAAAAACACCGCTGACATGAAAGAGGTTCACAAGAAGCTGGCAGAGGGCCGACAAGTCTCCGCAGACCAATCGAAGAGAAAGAACTAAGAAAGAAAGAGCAAGTGAGGGAGCCGACATCTTTTCCAATATCTCATGCAAAACAACAAACCCAACAAATGAAAAAAATACAAGAATGTTAATGAAAAACTGAAGGAGTCATGTAATATTTAAAACACTGACAAGCTGTGCATTACGAATATCAAAGAGCAAAGAGATGAGGGATCAAAACTCTGCAGCTTTTCCCTGACTTAAAAATGATCACTGAATAAAATATGTACGTCTGTGGGCCGTCACATTAAAATAACTCAACAGCATAAGCTCTAAGGGAACCAGAGCTTTACATTGTACTGAAATATATAATCATATAAAAGTAGTATAATGACACATAATACTGTATGTGTTAATTTTCTCTTGATGTTCATGCTCCGGGCGATTATTATTAATTCCATAATTAACGTAATTACTCCTTGTCATTAGTGAAGATAGGAAACCTTGTTGTACTCCAATGCAGAATATTGACCCATTTCTGTTTATTCAAGTATTTATACGTGAGCTTTTCCATCATCAAGTCTGTAAGATCGATCGCTGTTTAAAGTTTAGTGTAAGGGTCTTATCTGTGGTGGTGGTCCTTTAGTTAGAATAAACGGAGATCACTTTCAAAGGCCGTCATGGTCTGGCCTTTCCATCCTTCAAATCACAACACAGACAATAAAATCCCCCCGGGTACTTTATCTTATTCAGCAAAAACCAGACAGTCATATCCATCTGATTTAATCTTATTCCCAAAGAACTCTAAGAAAAACTAAATCTTGATAAACAATCGACTTCTTGTGTAAATTTTAAAGATTTAGAGGGCGGAAGGAACAGCTTAGGAAAATATGTGAAAGTAGTAGAAACATCCTGGCAGGAAGCTGAGAGGACCTGCTAACATGAGCTGCACGTTCAGCCCTCCTCCCTCAGCCGTACGGTCCAGACATGATGAGAGAAGCCTTGACACTTTGAGCCATAAATCAATATTCCATCAAATTTAGGTTAAATTGGGGAATAAATTGTGTTTTTCCAAGCAGATTCATTTTTAGAGGTAACGACGAGCAGACGTTTGTTTGGGACTCATCCCAAGTTAGTGCACATCGTCCAAACATTCAAACAAAACGAGCAGTGAGTCAACATCAATGATCCGCCAGAGAACGAGCCACGGAGTCCCCGAACGCTGGAATAAATTTAATTGGGGTTTAACTTGAAGCCCTTCAAAGGTTCCAGCTTTCAGCGAGTTTGCTAAAGAGACGGGGACACTTTTATAGTTTGCTGCTTTCGTTTTTTTTTCCCATGGAAATACTGTGTTCCTATATGAACCCTGTGCTTCCTCTGGAGGATTCATATTCTAAAGAAATAACGGTTGGCAGTAGTGAAGTTACGCAAGAGCAAATCACTCCCTTTGCAGCACTTTAAACATGCGGCACACAAACAGTAAAAAAACATAACTCACTTTCTCCCGTCAACTCCCTGAAATGACGTGTTTCTAGCAAACCTCTTCTAATCCACTTTAACCAGAGTGTTTGTGTGTGTGTAAATGCAGTGATACAGAATGAGATGCTGTGAATCTGCTACTGTTGCTCTCACAGAGAATTCCCTGTTTGCTATGACACTGATTGATATCATGCAAAACATACACACACACACACACACACACACAGGAGGGTATGAAGTCATTGCTCCCCAGCTGCACACTGACAGGATAATGGATGCAGAATAGACCAGAAACAGAACTGGCAAAAGCACTGTGACCAGCCCTCTGGCAGTGTCGCTGCACGGAGCAGCTCAACAGGGCTTCCAGATGAGCAGATGTGCAAACATGGGGCAACACACACACACACACACACACACACACACACACACACACACACTGTACCTTACACAGACACACATGTCTTGCATCTACTAAAAACATTACGTTTTATTCCCGTCATGCAGTTTAGGAATAATCTTGATTTCTTGTGTCCTTTTCTTTCTCCAGAGGATTCCTGCAGACTGTGCCAACATTTCTCTACTTTATACATGACAACGGCTCACTGCAGATTAAAACTCCACACTTTGACTTTTCCACGCCTCATCCATCAAAATGACATAATTAATATAACCACAGATCAATCTCAATTCAAAGCGTTTGTCCTCAGCTCTCCCTGCGCATCATGTCCGTCACCAACATCACTACACCCAGGAAATTGCTTCCACCTGAATCTCCACTTCAAGAGCTCAATCTCCCGGAGTATCACTTAACTCCTGGTGGATAATTGGAAGAATTAAAGGTTGAATTCACATCAATGAAATTTGTTCTTTGAAACGGTGCGTTTATCAGTGGTTATGTGCAGGTATATATCGCTTCAGATGCTGCGTACAGGCTCTTCACACCCTCTCCTAATCACTCATCGACACCAAATCCAGCTCAGACACAAGCACAGCTGGGTGGATTTCCTGCACCGCTGCCACACAATGTCCTCACTGTGACCACAGAGGGAGGCAACTTCTCTGGCTCTGCACAAGTGTTGTTCGGTTCGGTTACATTTCTTTGCTGTGTTAGTTCAGGCACAAATGAGGTTTTGTCTCTTTTTTTATCTATACGATGTTAAATTCATAATTTATACTTGACTGATTTGTATTCATGCGTGCACGATCAAATGCAGAACAGGGAGATATAATTCTATGTTATTTCTTTTAGTTCTTTTTTATTTCATTTTTTGGGTAATAGAAATTGAGCTCCCTACATAACAATCTGATCTATTGTTAAATCATTTTCATTTTAAATTGTGATGTATTCTTTCATCTGTTGTCTTCTATTTTGATTGTTTTCTTAATTTGTCCTTTGTGAATTACTTTGTAACAGGTGCTGTAAAGAGTCATAGTCAATAAAATGCTCAAATGTGGAGAAATCAGCAGTCTTTTTTTTTCCATTTTGAAAACGCTTTATACAGACAAACACCTCTCACGATTTGTGTATTAACTACATGTACAGTGCTGTGTCTCCTCAACATGGGATTTCAGTCACAGTAACAAACCCACAAACTGTAAATGTTTTCTCCTCCAATACATTAGGACATTCATACAGACTCAAACCACTAAAAACTATCATAAGTACATAGTGTACAAAAGGACAAATCTTGACAGTATATTGATGAAGCCTGTACATTAATTATAAATGACGACTAAGCACCAGACTCTCTGGCGGCAGAATTGAGGTCTGAATCGACTGAAGCTCTGCAGTGGTTATAGTTTCCTCTCTGAGCTTGAAAACTGAAATCTGCAATTGTTGTCACAAGCTCTTTTTGAGGCCAGTTTACATAACTGTATCATCAATCCGACACACGAAACCAAGTGGTCTGTGACGCCATTATTATTTTGTGGTGTAATGGTGATGGAGATAGTAAATGTAAAAGAGAGAAATATAAATGATTTGTAATGATATGAAAGCGTAAATTCAAAGAGCATCTCTGGTTATTCTTGGTCCTCGCTTCATTCATCAAACTAATCTAATAAGTGTGTTGATTTAAAAATCAACACTTTCAAGTATTTCTGTTTTTTAATAACAGTCCACAGCAGGATGAATAATTTCTATACCTTATCCCTACTCACAAATATGAAGTATTTGTATTGGATTGGATTCAAACTGTTTTGCTTAAAATCGGTTATTTGAATGTACCACAGAGGGCAGACGGCTGCTGACAGGAACATTCATTAGATGGCTCAATTTCTATTAAATTTGATCTGATGGAAGGGTGGCTCCTTCTGATGGTCAAAAGCAGAGTAACTTAAAAAGTATTTTAACAAACTCTGGCCCCCTCTACTGGATATCACAAAGAACTTACCGATGTAACAGTATCAGTGGAGCTCTGTATGTTATATTACATTGATGCTATCTAAATGGTGATACACAAAGAGACAATGCATTAAGGTCAAATTTAACAACTTTGGTTGATAACAAAACAATACATAACACAAAGGTGTGAGACTTGATTGGTGGATTTATGATTAAAAAGGGAAACACTATAATCCACCATAAATGCAGATTTTTGAATAAACAAAGTTCTGTCATTTGAATAATAACAAAAACATGAATGTGCTATAGTTTTATACCAGAGACAGTGTGGATACTGTGGTTAATTAAGACTGTGAGACATGCCACAGTCAAGTTGTGGCATATCTAGTTTTTGAGATAATTGAAGCACTGAAATACACTGCCCATGGAAACTGACTGAAAGTACCTCAGCCTTATGACGGAATATGAGAGCGGCAAGACAAGACAAGTAGTCACATGCATCCTGATTTTTAAATAAATAGTCAGACTCATGAGCTGTTACAACACAGTTGTTACAACCTTCCGCTGTTACTCAGTGTCTTTTTATTTTTTCTCCCTCACTGCGCATTTTGTGTCGTTCGCCTGAAACCATGTTAGCTGGGCGCCCAACTCTGCCACAGAACTAACTCGTATCCATTTTTAGATAGCTTGTCTCACTGTGGACTGATGACTATCTAAGCTCTTCCTGTTTCTTCAAGTGACTCCTTTTAAAAAAATTGTATTATTCTTTATTGAAAGTCTTTCTTTGGTGATGTGGAGAGAGACAGAGAAAGTAGATTATTTTTGTGCTATTACTTATAAGACATTGTGGTCTTTTTTTCATTACTGTAACTCGTTGGAGCTCTGACCACATATTATACACATTTATTCCCACATTTTCACTACAAAGGTTCACTTATAATATCTTGCCACTGTATACACAACTGGATAATCTTCACTGCATGTTCCCATATGCAGGGGCTCTTCCTCATGTGCTCTTGATATTTGAAAATTATTTCAACAACCAGAGGGGTTGTGTACATGTGTGGGTTCAGCCACAGTATCCCTAGTCAGTGAGAATACTTGATTCACACATGATTATAATAAACATCACTAACTGACATGCTCCACTGAAAGAGAAACACAGAGGTTAAGTCATACTGTTTCTTCAGATTGCTCAGTGTGGCCATAAATGACCATAACTAAAGCATTTGTATCATAAATGTGACTGTGAGATCCAATTCTGGAGCTTGAGACTGTGGTTTCTGTCGCTAGTTTCAACAAAAGGTCACATTTAAACAGTAGATTCAAAGTTAAGGATTTTTATCTTTCACTTTAGTTCATCAAATGGCTTTCAGTAGAGCACATATACCTCGACCAAACAGTCCCCTTAAATCCAATTAAACTGCAACATCNTGTGTGTGTGTGTGTGTGTGTGTGTGTGTGCGCGAGCATGCGTGTGTGTTCTTGTATCTGCGTGTCTGTGAAAGAGCAGCTCCAGCCGAGCCTTACACTCCATCAACACATCATCAGCGGTGTTCCAACATATTATTCTGACCTAAATCCATCAGCTACATGCATTTATGCAGTTAGTCACTCTTTGTCAAATTGTCTTAATTTCCTGTAGTTTGGCATTTTGAAACAAACAAATTCAAAAAAATAATTTTCAAATTTTATCATTGAATTCTAAAACACGTATTACTCCCACCGAGGGACACAAAACTCACTGCTATCAAAACGTCACATAAAATACTTTCACAGTCAGAAAAACATGATCCACGCAGGGAAGCTACACTTTGTTATGTTTGCTCAGTTCAGAGAGAGGAAGTAAATGAGTAAAAACAAAAAAACAACTACTGGAAGTAGAATATGCGTATTAATCACAATAAATAATAGTGGCTAGAAATATGTACAAATAATGCACATACTAATGGAAACACGCAAAGTACAATGACAGCATTTTAACACACACACACACACACAGGAGCTGCAGTACATCCTGTGTCTTGACCGAATGCACACACACACACACACACACACACACACACACACACAAAGAGCATATAGACAGAATTCTTCCTGAGCAGCTGAAATGTATCTGAGGGGCAGTGGAGCATCAATCCTGCATGAGCACAGTTTACAACACCAGCAGGTCGACAATAGAGTGAACTCGCCCGCAGGCTACAGGCCCGTACGCAGGGTGGGGGATTTAGTGTGAGGGCTGGGGGGGTTGTCTGAGGACCTTGAGTTAAAGCATCACGAAAAAACAAAAAAAAGATTTGTTGTATCTTGGGTCCTCTTGTTCCACGTTTAAGAAATCTCTCAAATGTGTCAATAAGACGTATATAAAATGTTGAAAAGTGATGTGTACCTGTCTGTGAAGGTTCAGAGAGGAGTGTGAGACATGCAGCTACATGCTGAAGTTACAGGAGACAGACTGAGCCTGAGCGTCCACACAGCTGGAGTCATATAGACGTGACCTCGGCCGTTTGAACCACAGTAAAAAAAAAAAAAACAGTGAGCAGTAAAAGGTTAATCTGTTAAATCGATCAATCTCAAGTACGTTGTGTTTATTTGATTTGCTGGAAAATCAGAGTTTCAGATCCTCTATACATTTTAAGAGTTGTTACTATAATGTGCAGGATATGTGGAAGCCTGCAGTGGTTTGCACTTAGAGTGAAGAAAAAATTCATCAAGTCCCTTTGCAAAGACTTACGCCTTCTTGCCACAGATAGCGCCTTTGTACCAGTTCCTGCACGTGCTGAAGTATTTCTTCTTGGTGCCCATGACCTGCTGCAGAGCGCACACGTTGGGCCTGAGAGAGGAGGGGATGGATGGGGGAGGGAGGAAAAAAAAAGTGAGGAGTAGCAGGAAGAAGAAGGGTATAGGTGAGGTGGGATGTGGGAGAGAGACGGGTAGGAAGAAAGAACAATGACATGAGAGGAGGTGAGGGATGTTGAGTGATGGTATGAAACAGGGAGGGGTGCAGGAAGGAACTTTATTTAAACAAGCAAAAGCTTAAGTACAGTGTGTTTTTTAACAATGAAAACGTTAGTTTTTAAGCCTTACTTTGTCATTTTCTTGCAATAAATTCATACAAAAACTTTCTCAAAGTTAAATGTAAAAAGTTCACTGCAGAATCAATTTCAAACACTAAATCTGGGACATATATTTATAGGAGAGTAGAAAATAAATATAAACGATATTGAGTTTTCCTTTATGGCTCAAATCAATATTTCCCTCACTGTGGCCGACCTGCTTCTGAAGTAATCGTGCAATTTATGTTCATTTATCTGCAGATAATTGCAAATAAAATGGTTCGGAGTTGTTAATACCAGCAAAAATCTTCTGAATTATAAAGTAAAAAATGCAATAACTGTTTCACTGTTCTTTAAACTTGTTATTTATCATCACAGTTTCATGTTTTTCCTCCCCCCTCCTCCCCCCTGTCCCGTCTCCTTACCCTTCATTCCGGGCCCGTATGCGACTGTGGGTGACGATCTTGTCGTAGGCTGAAGAATCCACGCTCCCCAGACAGCAGAGCGCCACCAGCGCTGAGGTCACGACGAGCAGCTGATGCATCCTGGGATGTTATCAGTCCTCTGTATACTGCAAATGGCAAACACACACACACACAACTGGGGTCCCCCCAACACAACAAATACACTAGAGATACAGGAGAGTGAGAGAGAGAGAGCTTTTATACCAACAGGTCTCTCTCTCTCTCTCTAACACACACCCATACCCACCCACTCCTTAAAAAAATCCTCCCTCACTTTCCATACCATTATATCCTGTTCTCACCCACACACACACACACACACACTGAGTCAGAATCCTCCCTCGAGCTGCAGCTTATTGTCTCCCTCTCCCCTCACATGGTTGCTCGGGTCTTTCTCCACCACCATCACATCCCAGAGCACCGACGACGCCCTTAAACATGACATCAGCTCTGCACGATGCTGTGACAGATGGTGGATTATCTTGTAAAATTATATCAGACTACTGTGTAACACAGAGGTTTTTCATCCTCGCCTTAAAGATTGATGGGGCGTTTTAAGAGGGGAGCTGGAGTAGCCACTCTGATATCTGTCCCGTGTAAAGAACCTTGATTTAGCTGTTTTTAATGTGCCGGGAAAGAAGGTTGTAAATCAAACAACCCTGTGGTGATGAATCTGTGTAGACGAAGACATTTCACACTTTTCTTGACAGAAGCCTGACTGTGTTTTCTTATCATCCATCCCCAGGGATACCCCCCTCTCCTCCCCATCGATTTTGAGATGTGGATTTATCCTTTCCTCCCCTGAGCTCTATTCTGTGCTGCAGCTGCTCTTTCCCCCCTTCATCCCCCCTCCATGCTGTCATACTCCATCGTTCATTACCTCAACTCTCCTTCTCTGGACCTAACTTCCCTCCACAGTCGCCTATGTCTCTGGCAGGTTGAAGCCAGATCTGATTTGGCTTCAAAGGAAGAATTTCCTCCCACCCGGATGTCGTCGTGTACGGTTGTGGCTTGAAAGACTGGAGACATGCAGGTCTGGAATCTCTTATCAGGTCCTTGAATTAAGAAAACAACCTTTTGAGAGAAGATAAAACAGAGATCTGGGAGATCACCCTCAGTTTTTCCTCTTAAATAATAATAAACTACAACGATACTCAGCGGAGCAAATAACTCATCAAGGCCAAAGAGTCAAGCTGCAACACATTTCACACACTCATAGATTATTCCCTGGGAAATCTGTTTCCTACTTTCCACTAGGTTTCATTGTAATCCGTGCAGTAGTTTTGGCGTTGTCTTGTTGAAAACAGAGATCATGACCTCCTTGACTTGATCATTTGTGCCCAGCAGAAAATACTAATATAATAATCAACTGAAACTAATCACATCACACTTAATAACCCTGAACTTCCCCAAAGATTAACTCGCTCTTTATGAACTCGATGATCTCTGTGAGACCAGGGTGAGCAGCAGAAGCAGAGCCTGCTCCGACAGGGACTCCTCCCTTTAGAAACAGCTTCCTGTCCATGACGTTATCTCAGTGTTAGGATTGAAAAACTCAAGTTTACACATTAAGAAGACACATTCGCAGTCTGCAAATTTCAGACTTACAGCGACTGATTTCCTTTTTATTTCCTGTGTAATGACTTTAATTACATTTAACTGTAATTTAACATTTAACTGTGCCCTTCTTTATTTTTCTCTGTTGAGAGATTTTCCTGCTAGAAGCCGGACCTGGCGTCACCACGACCCTCTGCTGCCTGCAGGTGAATATCTTGGATCTCAGATTGTGCAGAGGTTGGTAGAGAGGAAGAGGAACTGAGGAATTCCATCCTATAATGCCAGCACCCCCAGGTGGGAAAGACATGTCAGTGCAGTCACGTGTTAGGCCTCTTTGATTCGGATGATAAGAAATACCACCTTGTGCTTGTTAACCTCCACTGACCAGTCACGTTGCGCTTTATATCTGTGTCTGTCCGTTCTCATTTATTATATATAATTAAGAATTTGAAGATATTAGGTTTAAAGTTTTAGATTTGTGACTTGAATCAAATTCCTTGTTATATGTTCACATGCTTTTTTCAATATAGCTGATTCTGAGAGAAAAACAATGCTGCATAGAAGATACAAATAATAAAACACAGATGCTTCACACGCATCTTCAACCCGGTACAGTTACAACAGTGTCAGTGTCAAACTGGAATCTGCTCACACTTTTCTCTTGTGTCCTTGAGTGATGTCCAAGAACATGATGACGCTACAGTGAAGTTGACCTCTGACATTTCCAATACAATATGTCAGTTCGTCCTGGATGCGGACTTTGGATGTTTGATGTCATTTCATCACATCTGGCACGAATTAGAGATCATTTACTGGTCAACATCTGTATAACAGGTCTGTGTTCATACATATACATGTATACATGGTATGTCCTGAAATATAATAAATAAATAAATCTGTTTTGGAATTTTGAACCTTGTTTGTCTAATCCTGCACAGAGCTGAGTCATGTGTGGAACAACAGTGTGTGACTGTATTAACTGTGCATGTGTGGGTCTGTTTGTGTTTGTGGCAGCTTGTTAGAGTTGCTGCTTCAGCACAACTTCTTCTTTTCTGTGGCCTTTGATAATAAAAGACCTTTCTTTGGATAAAGTCAGGGATTAGGGTGTGAGTGTTGGTGTAAAAGCTCCTGTAGAGTTCATGACAAGTGAGCAGACATGCTGCACACTAGAGTCTACACTGGGTGGCGCTATGAGCCATGTAAAACTATAAATTATATTTTTTATTTATACATAAATTTGGTAATACATGTATAATTAAAAAGCAGCATTTCATCAGAGAGCAGTCATATCATTTAGCATACAGCTGAAAAAACACAGCATCTCTTTAAATGAATACGACTGACTACAATACAAACTCCCTTGTGTGAAGCTGTTTTTGTTTTTCAGCTTTTTGTAAATTTAGAATAATTCCAGTGATATTTGACAGAACCTTAGTGGCAATAACTCCTTTAAATGTAGACAAAAGGATTATTGATGGATATCATGCACCGTTAGTTTAATCTAAATTATTTATGTATCAGACGGAAAATACAGATATTTTCCTCTTTTTTCACATTGATATTTAGGTAAGTTTGAGCACTTTGTATTCATGCGTCCCTGCATCAGTGACAGTTCAGTCCTGTTGGAACCTCAGGAGCATTTCAGCCTTTTGATCACACGAGGAGCAGTTTCATCATCTGCTGAATATTTCATCTCTTTTTCACTTGCATGGTCACTTGACGGCTGAGAGAAAATTATAAACCACAGAGAAGAACAAGTAGGAAAGTGATGGGATGTAAAGAATAGTCAAGAGTCAAGAGAAAAGAAAAGAAGTCCAGTGTGTATAATTATTAACTATGGGGTTTGGTGGTTCAATTGGAAAATGACATTGAAATTTTTTTATTGTGCGGAAAGAAAACATGCAATTGCAAAACACTGATTGGACGGACACACTGTCAGTCTTTATAACAGGAAGCAAACACAAGAGGATGTGTTTTGGCCACCGTACCTTAAAGAATGAGTAAGACAACATGAAAAGCCTTAGAGATGCCGTCTGTCGGGGCCTGACATGAAAACATCATATTGTGTTTGAAGCAAAAAAAAAAAAGCTGAATAAATAAGTGAACTTTTCGGTTTATTTCTCTTCTGTTTCAGTCTCTAGAACGTCCATCATACGAACTAACATTACATCTAAAGTTACCTTTCTTAAAAACAGCAAAACTTTTCAAAATAACCAGTTGATTTTCGGCAGGAGTGATAAAACATGAATAATATGTTGCTTTAAATGGTTGATAGCCTGTGTTCATATTGTTATTATCTCCCATTTCCCTTCCACCAGCAGCTGGACACACTTGACACCCTACGTACAAGAGTTCTTGTCTCGCTAAAAACAAGCCGTCGTCCTCATCACCATCACTGGGATTCTTTGCATAGAAAAACATCGACAGAGTTGTTGCATGGTCAGAGCTCGACACACTGTTCGCCAGAGTAAAGTGTGTAAAGTGCAGAAACAGACAGAATAAGGCAGAGAGTCGGGTGTAAAACTGAACATATCTATTGCTCCGGTGAGATAAAGGACGGGGAGAGATAAAGGACGGGAAGAGATAAAGCCGCGTAGAGATAAACAGGAGAGGAAAAGAGGTAGAGAGAGATTGATAAAGGAGAGAGTGCTCGTATTCGGTGTTGGGGAGGGTAAGGGAGAGAGAGGAGGTTAAAGAAAACAGGATATTTTCAGTTTCAGGAAATAATTACTTTCTAATCGTCCGTAGAGATAAGATGAAATGACTTTATCCTGAAATCTAAATCCTCGCCACGCTTCATTTACCTTCGCTGCCGATATGACGGCATTTATAAACTCTAAAACCAAAGGCCTCCCTGAGTCTCCACAGATCAAAACTGATCATTAGTGTGGTAATTACTGGAAAAGTTAGACTCGTTGTGAATATCACGCACGTTTCTGACCCAGCATTCCTCACTTAAAGCTCACATTGATTGTCTGACTCCAGTCCAGTGTTTCGTGGCCTGTTATAATGTCAAACATCCCTCAGCTACCGGGTCAATGAAGCTTCGTGCTTTCCTTCAGTTTATTTTTCTTTGTCTTCCTCCGAGCCATACTTGGCATTTGAGACCTCGCCATCCTCGGTGTCAGCCTCTGTCACCGCAGCCTCCTCCACTATTTCTCCCTCTGAGAACTTTGTCTCCTCCTCATCTCCGGCCGTTCGCTCTCTGTCCCGCTCCTCTGTGTCCGAGCCCCCAGACTCCCCTGCTTCCTCTGATAAAGAGTACATCTTCCTGGAAATCTCTTCTGTGCCCGATGTGGCTTCGTTGCGGTGGCGTTTCTGGAACAAGCCAAAGTCGGTGATATCTTTGGGGAAGTTCCTCCTTTGGCTTGACTTGTCACTGGAGCTCTCATCAGGGCCCAGCAGGGGCAGGAGTCCGTTAGGCAGACCGTTGAAGGCGTCTGGCGGCCTGGGTGACGCTGTGGAACTGCTCATCTTGAGGATGGAGGCGGTGATCTTGAATCTGTTGCTCTTGCTTTTCGTCTGGCTGCTCTGAGGGCTGGGGGAAACCTTGAGCGAGGAGTTAGGGTAAGCGAGACTGGATTCCACCGAGCTGCCGCTGGCCTTCGCCCCTTGCAGGGCGGGCTTCCCTGTCTTCATCATGCCCATCACCTCGTAACGGAAGCTGGAGATATCTTGTTTCAGCTCCTGAGAGAGCAAAGCAAAGCATGAGCTCCCCCTGGTAAATTAACTAATGCTTTTCATTTAACCATAAGTCTCAATCAATCTCTGTAGTCGGAATCTGCGGAGCGCTGCAGAGAGTATTGATTCATTTTACCTCAGTCAGTTATAAGTGGACGAAGTTCATGAAATGATTCTGTAATGAAGCACAATGTTTCTTACAAAGCTTATGAGAACAGCGTAACATTTTTGAGACAACATGCCTTTAAAAAGCCCAAACTGCTATGATGACTGATTTATCATTATTTGTGTGTTTATCATCATATCGTATGTGTATTGTATGTTGGTGACTGAAGACTAACGTCCTGTCCCCAGTAATTTGGACATTTTGCAGAACAAACTTTTCCCTCTGCGTTTGATTGAGCTGCAGCTCGAAAACCAAGTTGAATGGATTTGTCAATACATGTTATGTCATCTACTGCTAATACAGTAATATTGATTATTTGCAGCTTTTTTATTTCCCTGAACCAACCTTGAAGTTCTCTTCAGTCAGTCCTTCCTCTGTCTTAGCATCTCTGATCATGGCGGCCACGTAACGTTTCACCAAATTCCTCACCACCTCCTACAACAGCACAGAAAACCGCCATTGAACACAATAACATTCTATTATTGAATAAAAGTGTTTTTTTTAATAGAAAACTTCAGAGTCGGAAAGAAGATGACAATAAAACATTCTAAGCTACAACTCCCATAAGAAGTAGAAGAACAACCCCCTGCAGATGAGGACAAATAGGAAATCCTCGTCTCGCAGGGTGTAATTGTTTAGTCTATTGTGTGAGACGTTGCTTGAATTTTCTTTTGACTGAGAGAGAATGGAAGCAAATAAAGGCAGAAGAGCAGAATGTGTGATCTGTCACCGTTTGTGTCACACACACACACTAACCTGATATTGATGGTTTATCCTCAGATTATCCGCTGCTCGTCTCTGCAGGGACATCAGATGACAAACAAAAGTGAGTTAGAATGACTTTGACTCTTTTGTCTACACAATGCAGAGGAAAATCTGTAAAGAATTCCAAAGGTGGCATCATGAAATCTTTTTTTATTTTTTATCTCATCATCCGTCAAAAATCAAAGACATGATATCCAATTAAATAAAGATAAATAAAAACAGCATATCCTGACATTTGATAAGCTGAGGAATTGCACATCACTGTTAAATGTCATGTTAATTTTCTGATGGCCGACTTACTCCGAGAGATCCAAAGGTCTCAGGTCGCTTGGAGTTGGTCCTCTTGCACACCTGCCTCTTAATCCAACACATGAGGTACCAGAAGGACTTGGGGCTGGGGATGATGTTGAACGGGGCCGGCAGCGTGGCCCCTTCTTCAAAGTAGCTCATCCACAGCTTCGTCCTGGCAAACTTCCACTCAATGTCAGCGTGGTCCTGAAATCCAGTTCAGAGCATATTCAAAAGAGAAAGCATGTTTGTATCGCATTGTGTTTTCAGTTTGTGTGTGTGCTCACAGCGATGTGCTGATAGGAGTTGTTCATCATGGCGATGAGCATGTTGAGGAGCACCACCAGTGATATTATGTTGTAGGTGCCAAACATGGTGGCGCCAACAAACTCGGTGAACTGGTGGTCGGCGTCCACGTTGGTGACGTAGAGGCTGATCAGGCCGAAGATCGACCAGAAGAGAGACTGCAGGGTCTCAAACAACCTGCAGGGAAAACACAGCTGTTACTCAAATATCATGTTTTATCACTGTTGAGAAAATATTTATCAACTGGGAAAGTTTTCATAAACCTGGATTCCTTTACCCTGGTATTTATAAACTTGTTCTGAAACATCAGTTTCTCTTGGCAACTGAAAACCTTTTAAGTTTTCACACATTTGGCAAATGTGCTATTCACAGGCACACACCTCTCCGTTTCTTTGCCACTCAGTTGCACAACATCACACATCTCTGCTGAACACGCAGGCAAAGTTGAGATTCATGTGAACTCACGTGGAGAAAGCGTTATTCTGCTCCACACAGCGGATGCCCTTACATTTCCCCTTCTCGTCCGAAGCCTTGGTCTCATAGTAAAAGTAGAGCTGGTTCAGTCCGTTAGCAAAGGCCAGCAGGACCTGCAGAGAGACGTGTTTGCATGAGCCGATCGTAGCCAATCCACATATCTCTGTATGTTTAATGCGCTGCGCTTCATGTTGATGTGCAAACATTTGCATGTTTACCAGACAGTAGATGAAGAGGAACTTCAGGATGTCCAGCAGCATTCTCCCCAGAGAGATCTGCAGCGGCCCCAGATGAGAGTTGGCCGTGAACAGCGAGATCAGGCGCAGGGAGCTGAAAATGTTAGCGATGGCAAACACCGCCTCAGCTACGAGTGTCGGGTGCCACATCTCCCACTGGTTCCTGGGTTTACTGCCACTGTACTGTACGGGGAACACACTGGGATAAAGTGAGGGCACATTACACGTGATAATTCTGCTGCTATTCAGAGATCATTCATTACCTTAGTGTAGGCTACAATCTTGAGGGAGATGGTGGCCAGGTATAGAGAGTTCATGACAAAGTCCATCAGGTTCCACCAGTCGTGGACATAGTCTTGGAAACCACCATCCCACATTTGCTTGATCTCTGCCCAGATGAATCCTAGAAATAGAAAGTTTCTCATCATCTGTCAAATCAGTACTTGTGTCTGGCAGGCTACTGTGTGGAAATGTGCAGACCTGCTTATTTTCTGCAGAGATAAGTTTAAGTCAGTGGGAGTTAAAGCTTAGATTGGCAGTGAAACTCTCCCGACTGAATCACCACCACCAAAAATCTGAATATGCATAGAAAATATCTGATTATTCTGGAATAAGAGTCAGCAGATCCGTGAGGCTGAATTTAGATACATGCTGTCTCTGAATTCAGGGGCCGTGTGTTTTTGGAGGCGACATTTGAAGACCAGTCACTGCATCACAGTGGCAGGACTAAACGAAGGCTCCTTCAAATGCACCCGACAAATGTGCCATCGTGTTACATTACTCACCCAGCACCCAGGGCAGGATCATCCACTCCACGGTGGTGGGTGCGGGGCCCTGCCTGTCCTGCCTGTCCTGCTCTGTGGTGACGATGTGCTGGGAGGCGAGGAGCAGCAGGAAGAGGAAGGTCAGGTAGGACGCCGTGTGGCAGATGAACTTGATGAAGGGCTTCCGGATGAAGAGGCCGTAACGACTCTTCGGAGCGATGAGGTAGCAGAGAGCAAACCCGGGGTAGAGGAGGCCGATGAAGACGCAGGTGAAGAACTTCCCCGCCCACTGTCGCCGCCTCCAGCCGGGGAACTCGTCGTACCAGCGCGATGCCAACAGCTGCTGGCAGTTTGGCTGAGCTACAAACTTAGAACATAAGACAAAGGAGGAAAGAGTTACACTTTTCCTCTGTTTGATCTACAGAGAGAATAATGACTGGAGGGATTCCTCATACACACGTGAGCTATGATTGCAGCACGTGAGCCTGCTGGGAGACAGCATCCTCAGCCCGAGGCTATTTGACGGTGCTACACAGAACATGCTCTGGTGACCACATGCCAGACTTAGCACCTGCCACAAGCTCCAGTGGAGAGCGCAGGAATAGACTGTGAGGTAATCTCACATGATACAACAGAAGGAAATCAGGTAATGGAAGGAAGGGAAGTGAAAAAGAATCCACATGTTGTCGAGAAATTAGAAGATCCTGTTTTCAGATGAGTGAATTGAATATCCTGTTGATTTTCTTGAGATAATAACGGTACTCCAGCCACAGACGTCTGAATATGATTGGAACAAAATCTCAACCACGACAGGATGGAATCAAAATGTTTCAAACGTAAACCAACACATGGGAAATGTTTTGTCTTCCCCTTTGTTGTTTGGCATGTTTGACGTTTTGCATTGCCGAGGGATTGATACCGAATGTGACTGCAAAAGTGAAATTTTACTGTCCAAGTAAATGCCGTGCTTTGGTAACTAAGTGCAGGTTGAAAGTCACCAGCAAAGCCAAAATATCAACAGAACTGCAGCTGTGTCTCTGCAAAATAGACCAGAGCGACGTCAACAGCCTGTGGTGATAATCTAGAAGAATCTAATTGTAGATTGTATTTTGCAAATTGTATAAAACAATCAGTATGCACATGCAAACATATTTGCAGGCAGAATCAGAATCGGAAATACTTTATTGATCCCTGGGGGAGAATTTTAGTTTTGTTCGAGTCGCTCCAGCCAAGAAGAGAAATATATAGAGACCAAGAAAATAACAATAAACAGAAAGAGAGTATAAAATTAAGAGTTTGTAAAAAAACAAAAAGAATAAGAAAATATGTAAAAATATAGTAATTCACTGTATACAACAGAAGATAACTGTTTTTATGAAAATTCACTTTATTATATCAGAGTTATATCAGAGCCAATGTGTTGACCGGCTCCAGTGGCAGCTAATTCAAAAACTCTGCAGCTTGTTACCATGGGAACCGAGGAGATCCCTGTGTGCATCGTGGGTCTGGAGTAAAACGGCTCATATTTCCATATGGATGAGCCGAGAGGAAGGCAATCTCTTTTCTTTCTCCAAATGAGAGGAAGAGAGAGACAGAGAGAGCATTGAGATAACGAGGAGGATCAATGATAACGCTTCAAATCTCTTCAGTTTCTTCTGACGATGGAAGAATAAAGAGGGGAAGGGAACAGGTTGAAAAAGCCCCCGCTGATTTTTCTCTTTTCATACGACTCCTTTGAGGATGAGACTTATTTATGGAGAGAAATGGCCAAGCTCACTAAGTTGTACCCAAAGTCTGAGGCTAAACTGTGGGTGCAGGATAAGTCTCATAATAAAGTACTTCAACTCAGAAAGTAATGAAATAAAGACACAAACAGCACACAGTTAAATGGTACAGCAGCTACAGATTGATTTATTCTGTCCACTTGATGGAGGCTTTGATCATTTTATCACAACTCTTACGAAGGATGTGAAAGTGAGTGGGTCCATTGATGAACCAGCTTTCATCTTCCACCGCTCGTCTGAACATTACGTGTGATTAATGACAGTAAACTGTACTTGAGCCACCTAATGTCTTACCATAATCAGCACCACGCAGTCAAACCGGACAGTGATTAGGAAATGCAGTCCTGATCAGATTAACTCTTGTATAATATGTAATATGGGCTTTTTATTTTTCATTTAGAAAATGTAGCAAATAAAGAAACTGGTGACATGCTGCATCTTCTTTTGGACACCGTGGAGTAGGTGAGAACTAGAATTACCAGCCTGCGCCTGTAGACGGTGATTTATATTTGTGGTCACATGTGGTCAGATTCTATTTCTAATCATCGTAGCTTGTAGGTACCTGGAAAGGACCTGAGAGTTCTGAGAGTTCCTGATGTGTAAATTGATGATTTGCATTTTAATCAGTGGAGTCACTCAGTGGAGCTCATACACCAGGACTGAGCAGTTGCCTTGAATTCAATTAAGCTCCACCAAATTAAACACACACAATCAAATCAGTTTTTTCATCAAGATTTATGAATTTTTTCCCTGAGAAACTGGTAAAAATGTCAACAAATCAATGGACAGGAGCTTAAATATAATCACATTGAAGATCACGCTGTCTGTCAGTCACCTTTAATCTCACACTTAAAACACAGGGTGATGCAAGGTGACAGGAAAAACGCAAACAGTGGTGCTGAAAATTTCTGACTTTCAAAATGGTTTCCTGCAGCCTTCATTTAAACTGCTGCAGGTTATTGCGAAACAACTGAGTGCTGATGGCACTTATTGCTGTTTAGTGTGATTTTATCTGCGTTTAATGGAGACACTAAACACATCTGAAATACTGAATTGCACTTTTTATGAGATATCACAAGGGGGCAACGTCAAACTACAGCATGTAAAATTAATAGCTTTCCCTTGGCGCCTTTAAAAATTTCAAATATTAAAGAGACAGTCTGCTGTAGCTCAACTCTCTAGTGCTCTCACCTACAATGTGAGTACATGAGTACAAATGAGGAGTAATCCAGAGTTTGAAGCCTCAGGATATTAAAGGGGATAAACGGCACATGAATGTGTAATGTGCTCCTGATCATATTTATCTGATTTGACCTCCCACTGCATCAAAGCACCGGCTGCTCCGTTAGTTAAGCTCTTTAGACGGGAGGCCTGTGGAGATTTCTTTTCAGACCATTTTAAATTGCCTTTCTAAACCCCTGGGAGCGCAGCAGCGGCAAAACAGGAAAAACACACACGAAGAAATAAACACAAATGAGCACACACACACACACACACACACACACACACACACAGAGTTTTGTTCCAGTGGGGGTCAATGACTCACTGGAACACTCACTATTAAAAAAAACACATTCAGGCTCGTGGTTCACACCAATTATAAGAGCCTGAGTGTTTGTCTGCTAAATCGGTGAAAGATATGAGGGGTGATCACACACAGACAAAATGTGCTGAACGTAATAGCGGCTCCCAGGAACAGCCGAGCCTTTCCAGCCCGGCTAAGTGTCCACTTGACCCTCGGAGCGCTGCAGGGGCCACAACCCATATCAGCTTAAAAGATCGTCTGTCACATCTGCACAAAGCCATCGCTGTAACTACCTCTGTGCGTTCACACAGAGCCCATTCACCACTGTCAGGAGGCTGCAGTGAACAATGCTGTTATATCACAGCTGCTTCACAGAGATTAAAACGCTTCCACCGCAAGTTCTGGATTAAATGCAAGTCAAAATATTTAAAGCTGCACAATGCTTCATTTATTTTCATCTTTCATTCTTCAAATCAACAAACGTTTATGTTTTCATGGTTAAATCAGAGGCTGTAAATAAAGATAGACAACATTATCGCTTTTTTTTTTTCATCAAAGATGGTTTCTTTTATTTTTAGGTAGATCTTATCACACTGATGTATGATCAAGTGTTTATTTTCCCAGTAAGTTTGATTTTTAATTATTTAATTGATGCTATAAAAATAAATTATGAATTTATTCTTCTCTGTATGAAAAAGTAATCGTCCAATGCAGTAAGATCATTTAGCAATTTTTATCAAAAATCAAAATCTTTCAAGGATTTGCTAGAGATGACAGTTGTGAAACAAAAAAGAATAGAGCAGGTTTCTTCATTAGAATAAAAAAAAATGTAATTTGATCTTAGAACTTACTTGAGACAAATTTGAATTCTAGCTTCTGTGGTGGATTTTTCTTTTATTTTAAGGAAAATACATCTTAAAGGATTCAATTACAGAGAGCAGCTGATTTCTTTAGAGAGAGATTTTACATCAATCACACCACAACACCGTCTATTAATTACACACACGCAGGCAGAAGGATGATTTCCAGCAGGATAACTTTACCATGAAACGACTGCTAACCAGTCCAAGTGTGAAATTTATCATTCTGAAAGGGCAGCTGGGTGGATTGTTACCCACATCATGAGACACTGTCCTCCATCAAAGTCCTGGGGGCGATCAATGGGTGTTACAGATAGGATTCAGGAGAAGGGCATGCTGGGACATCAGCTGGATAATTTGAACACTCCTGGAGAGAGGAGAGCTGGAGGAGGGGACGTTTGATGTTTGTGCACGATGAAAGATTTACTTTATTAACAACAACAGAGTGGTTGAAGATGATGGCGGGGCTGTCCGTCATGTTCATCTGTGCACTTAACTGTTCTTTTACGACTCAACGTGGTCATCCGCTGACCTGTTTCTACGAGCAACAGCCAAACTAATGAAAGGGGAAACTGCTGCATAACAAACCAAGACGTCAACACAAAAGTCCAACCAGACGAGCTCCCTGGATCAGACGGCAGGACAGAATTCAAGCCGCTCCTGAAAGTAATGTGTCTGGCTCCTGATCATTTTTGCTTTACTTTAGTATTCAGCGGCACAATTGTGTGGTGGAATATCACTTTCATGCCTTTCTGCTTCCCCGAGGAGCCTTTAAACTATCCCACAACTTAGTAACTCAACTCGAACCAGGCTTTCCACATTCTGCATTGAACCGAGAAAAATCATAGCTCATACATTTGTATGCATCTAGTAGCCTTTTTTTTTTCTATCCCCCCACAGTACTTATCCTTCAAACGGTTAATATATGGTAAGGTAAACAAATGTGAAGTGATTGCAGCCATAATAGCACTCGATGGAGCACATTTCTCTGCCAAGGCCAAACAATCCAACACATTATTGTTTAGTTCTTATAGTATTCATCCATTCCTCCATCCATCCATCCATCCATCATCTACCACTTATCCTTTTGAGGGTAGTAGGGGGAGTTGGAGCCAGTGTGAAGCCTGCACCCTGGACAGATCATTGCCACATAGGGAAAGTGTCCAATCAACCCACGCATACATGTGAAGAACATACAAACTCCACACAAAAAGACCCTGGAACTGGGAACCTTTTCCATTACTCTTCAGTTACAATTATTAATCATAATTCAAAGACTCAGCTCTACTAAATATGTGAAGGTTTATATCGCAGGAGCACACATTTGATTACACACTTCACAGGAAGTTATTTGCATACTAATTGTTCCTGGCTCCCCTCACTGGAAAGCATTTATCAGCAGCAGAAACAAAAGCATTAAATTACTGGACTGCAGAGCTGAATATTTTTTCTTTAGTTACCAGCATAATTATTCAAATATGTTTCGAATGCAATTCAGGTCCTGCAAAGCTGCTGAATAAAACTATTTGCTCACTGTAGGAAAACAAAGCTGGACTGTGAAAGTTATCTGTGACTGATCACCAAATGATTTCCATGAGCGGTAAAACTAGATGCGCTGCACATGTTCCACATTCGAGAGGATTAAGATCATGAATGTTTAAAGGAGATATTTTCAGTTTTTCTTTCCCTCTTCTCTGCTTAATAGGTTTTATGTGAATTTAAAAGTTCTGCAAAGTCAAAAAGACCAAAGTCAAGTAAAGGGACCCCGGCCAACTCTGTATGTGTGTGTGTGTGTGTGTGTGTGTG